GGAACACACAGAGAGCCCCACAGTGTCCCGTGGAAGCTGCTCTCACCTGGCCTAAATGGGAGGCAAATGCCCCCTTTGTGGAGTGGACCAGGCCCGATGCACCATTTGGTCCTTCACCATCCTTCCCAACCTCCAAAACTCTCATGGGGTCACAGGCCTGGAGACTCTTGAGCTGTGTCTCTTGTGCTGTGGAGCCTGGGATGGAACTTCCAGCTGAACCTCCTGTTGCAGAGCAAGTGAGCAAAAGAAGGAAGGAAGGGAGGAAGAGAGAGGGAGGGGCAGACGTCAGCAGGCCAGTGTAGGCAAGATATATTTCCTAGATAAACCAGGGACCTCAGGTGGGCAGTGAGAGTGGAGACACGATAGAAATTCGGGAGGACAGCCTTGCCGATCTCCCAGCCAGGCCAAGATTTGGATCAGCTGGGAGCATCAGAGGGCAGCAGGGCCTAGACCCCAGCCAGAGGCTTCCGCTGCCTCCTCAAGAGAAGCCACTCGCTTCAGACAAAACCATTCCCCTAAATGTTACCCACGGCAGGGGGGGATGCTGTCGCCACCAACAGAGAGAATTCTTAGTGGGTAAGTGCAATTTAAGCACGAAACAGTACTACCCAAAGAATGTACCTGAACTCTGTCTGCAACGTGACCTGCACACGTGTGTCCTAAAGCTCTGGGCCCTTTGACAGAATGTCCCTTTGACTTGGCTGCATGATGGTGGCTGTCCAGCCTGAGGAGGTGTGACCAAGCCATGGCACAAGGTGGCAGTTCTAGGGGTGGCAATTTCAGCCAAAGTGCATTATTCCTGGCTGTGCATTCCCTGTTCACGACACTTCTACTTTTCTCAGCAGAATGCACTGCTCTTGGGGAGGGTAAGCAGGTGGTTCCCACGAGTCTCGTCGCTCCCTCTCACAGTTTACTTTTGTTCTTACAACTAGGGAAGTGAGGCAGCTCTTTAATTCAAGAACCAGAGGGTACATGTCACGTTCCAGTGTGAGACGCTCCCTGGGCTGTGCGGGCTGTCAGCAACTCGCAGATCTCAGGTCAAAGGGCGTGTCCCTGTAGGGGCTGTGCCTGACGGAGCCCCTGTGCTTCCTGCGTGCTATTGCTGATTCTTCATGCCCTGGTGTTGCCGGCACCCTCCTTCCGCTGTGACTTTCATCAGTGAGCTAAAACACCCCTCTGAGGAGCCTTCACGATACAAAAATCACGTCTTCGGGCCCGCAGAGCCCTTGTCCCCACTCCCCCACCAGCATGGGTGCCGGTACCCGGTGCTGCTCGGGACCTCACCAACCACCTGCACTTGCTGTTTTCTGACAAAAGGCCCCAAAATGAAAGTGACAAACTTCACTCGTGACCTGTTGGCAAAAGGGCAGGGAAGGAAAAGCCCAGCCACAACGGAGAAGGATCCCAGCCCAAGGGGCAAGCAGGCAGTGGCTTTCCTACAGCAGGCTCAGGACAGATGCTGATGTCACGTCACGTGACCCTCTGAGTGTGAGTGCCTCTGTACAGGCTGGAGGGCTGTCTGCAGACGGGGCCAGTGGGGTTGGCTGGTGCCACACACGGTCACCCCCTTTCATCCATCTGGGGTGGCAGAGGTAGAACCAAGAGAAAGCCACCTGTGGGTGCCCCACGGAGGTGCAGCTTCTTAGCCACAGCCCATGAGTGTGACATGCCATGCTGCGGGGGAGGGAGCCACAGCAGGCACCACAGGGTGACATGACCGGGATTGATTTTAGCAAGTCCCAGGAAACCCCTGTCTTGGGCAACCTGGACAGTGGCCATGCTAGCCACAGCCTTGCCTACACATTGGAATCACCTGGGAGGGGGCAGCCAGCCTCAGGAGTTTTCAGAGCTCCCCAGGTGGTTCGATTGTGCACCCAGGTTTGAGAACCTCTGCTGCAAAGTTGCGTGAGCCGGCCCAGGTAGTGCTGTCTGGGGCTGGGCTTCTCGGTGAGCTTGCTGAACACTTCCTCATGCCCCATGAGTGGCATGTAAGTAAGTTTAGATTCCTGATTAGGACAAGCAAACATCTGCTCACACCAGCCAAGAAGCCCCTGTAATGTCCTCCTGCCCCAGGAGATGCCCGTTGGTTCTGTTCCTTTGTGTCCCTAAGGCAATGTGTGGGAGCAGTGGGAACACGACTGCCCAGAGCATCCAGCCAGCTCAGCTGACATCTTGACATTGAAACGCACTTAGGTGCAAAGTCCTGCCCTCGGCAACAGGGTTCATTGGCCTGTGGACCCAGGTCAAGGACCCCTGCCCTCCTGGATAGCAAGAAACTTGTGGAGGAGCCAGGAGCTTTAGTCCAGAAACTGTCAGGTGGGCAAAATTTCTTCCAGTCCACAGCCTCTCAGTGGGAGGCACAAACAGTTTTATAGCCACAGTTAACCGTTTTGCATGGAGTCACCTTTGTTAGGCCACAGTGTCTGTTCTGTGTAATGTAAATGACATCTCTGCCTTGTGGGAGCTCGGACCTCAGGAACTCTCTGCTTCCGTGACATGAAGAGGCTGAGTAGCGTTGCTGAAAAGCAGCCTGTTGTTACGGCTTTATCTGTTTGCTGTTTTCAACATATCTCTACCCGTGGGGCCCCTAACATTCTACCTTCCTGAGGTCTCTTGGAACAGTTGCCCTGGAACCAAACATATAAAAATGCAGATCAAATTCCCCCGGTGTGGAGAATGAGAGTAAAGAAGCCAACGTGATTGGCAAGCAGTTGTGTTGGCTTTGGGCAGGAGAGCTCCAGCGCTGTGTGTGCTCAGAACCCACAGAGCTGGGCCAGAGCTGGGCTCAAGAGACTGCCCAGTGCCACCACCTTCCTCCTGTATGCCCAGGGGACCCAGGGTGCACGAGAGTTAATAGTTACTGCGTTTCTACCATTCCCTCCGGGCACTAGGCAGGCTCCAGGGAGACCACGGTGGACAAGGGAGACATGGGCCCTGCCTACCAGAGCTTACAACGGAGCAAAGAAGGTCATTACTCAGATGCGTGAACCCTGCCGAGACGGGGAAGCTGAGGGGTCAGGGAGTGCCGCAGGCAGGTGCCCACCACCATGTCCTCTCTGCACCCCTTTGCACAGCAGACTGTGCTGAGGCTGCGACCACAGCGGGGACAGCCACAAAGCCGTGATTCTAATGAGCGCTGGCGTTTGAAGTCACCACTGAGGATGGGCAATTACAGTAAATTATGTCACAGGGCATTGCAGGGTTGGGGAGCGCTGCTAGACAAAGCGAGACTCAGCTAATTATGGCATAATTAATTAATTACTGTTATCCTAGGAGGCTTCCCATTTTGTGTTCCCTTAGCTCTGTTTCCTGAAAAATTGCTCATGGTGAGCTCCCAACTCCGTTCCAAGGCAAAAAGTAGAGGGAGGAAAAAAATAAAATCTATACTTCAAGACCCAGAAGTTGAGAGCACCAGGGGGAGGCAGAGCAGCAGCCCAGGGCTTTCTCACCCACGTGGGTCTCCAGAGCTCATGTGAGCAGGGCGGGAGGTGACACTCACTTCCTGAATTATCTCTGAGCTTCATGTCCATTGCAAAGGTTCTGGTGTTGTTCAATTTCAGTGAACCCCATGCGACTCCCATACATGTCCATAAAATGTAGAAATGTCACTGATGACATGCGAAAATGGGCCTGGTGAAGACCTGGCTTTCTGGAGACGGCCCATGAGAGTGAATCAGGACCTTCTGTCTGGGGTGTGGGCTCTGCCTTTGGCCTGGCCACAGAGGGCCCTCGGCTGGCTTAGGGTCACCTGCCCAGCATCCCACGAGGCTCCCAGGGATCTCAGCTTTGGTGGCACCCCACCCCATGTGCCAGATGAGCTGTTCTACTCGGGGGGTTCCTCCATGCTGGTTACAGCAGAATGGCATGGGGATCCCCCACTCCCATGCCAAGGAGGACAAACAGCAGCAGGAGCCACCAACCCCACCACCCGGGGCCAAGCAGCAGGACAGGTAACACCCAGGGCGGGATGCTCCTGATGTCGGTGCAAAGGTTCCACAGTCGATGTTGGCTCTGTGCCCTTCTCAGCTTCCCTCCCAGGCCCAGGGTGACCCCTGCAGTTCGGGGACATCATACCCACATCCCAAGGCAAGAGGAGGAGGAGGGCTGAGCCATCGGATGGGTCCCCTAGCTTATCAGGAGAACAAAAACGCCCCAGAATCCCCCAGGGGACCTGAGATCGCCCTGAGCCACATGCCATCCCCAGCCACAGAGGAGGTGGGAAACACCAGTATGGCATTTATGCTCTCACTGTGGAGAGGGACAGTGAGCAGAGGGTATGGATTGGGGATGTTGGGTTTGCCACAAAAACCCAATCAGGAACAGCGTCCAAACCTCCATGGGTTCCTCACAACCCTGAGGATCTAAATTATCTTAAACCAACACCTCGTTATGTGATTGAACACTCAGAAATGTGGGTACTGGTCTTACATGAAAGATTTCATTGGTGATGAATTTTACTAACTCCGGCTGTGGTGTGGGTGGGGCATGGTCAGGAACAGGAGGGGATGTAGCCAGCTGGGGATGATGTCTCATTGCCCTGCAGTGGATTCAAAGACCCTAGCCCAGCGTTTCCTCTCTGGGCAATGAGAGGTCTCATTTCCTTCCCCGTATGCCTGCCGGGTAGTGGAGATGCAATGGTAAGTGTGAACATGCTTTAGAAAGTTAGGTGTTACTCTAACAAACAAAACACTGTTCTTGGGTAGAAAGTGGCCCTGGAGATATTTAGCCCATCCCTCAGAGACAGGTGCCAGAGCCCCCCAGACCCCACCCTGGTGGAACTCCGATGGGCAACTCCCAGCCCTTGCCATGTGGGGAGGCAGCTACAGTACCCTGCCCTATACCCCTTCCTTGCAGTCGTCCTCGGTCATAGCTGGGGGCATGTGCAACTTCACCGCTGGCCCTGGCAAGGCCTTTCTGGAACCAGAAGCCATAGACGAGTTCTCCACCCACTGCTTGTTCTGAGTCACTCACCTTGACTTCCTTCTTCTCCAACTCTGCAGACTAACAAAGCCGTGGCCAAGGGGGACTTGCACCAGGCCAGCACCAGCTCCCGGCGGGCCCTGTTCCTGGCAGTGCTGTCCATCACTATTGGGACCGGCGTCTACGTGGGCGTGGCCGTGGCCCTCATCGCCTACCTCTCCAAGAACAACCACCTGTGAGCTTCCCTTGGGTGCAGAGCAGAAGCACCGGGCCAGGTGTGGGCGCAGAAGCCGAGGCGCTGGCCCGGGCAGACCCCGCATGATGCTGTACAGAACAGATGATTGCCAAGCGATGCCAGGAAGCCCTGGGATTTTCTACCATGGATCTCTTTTGTTTTTACCCTCTAATTTCATTTTCACAGCACTGTGTAGAGCACCAGACAGACGGGCACTGCTAATCCTTCCAAAGGCAAGCTCCAAAGATCCTGACCCGCGAGGCTGTCTCTGGATGGATTCTGGTGGATTAACGGCAACGCGGCTCTCTGCAGTGCCCTAATGCCACCGCATTAGCAATATACAAACACTAAAAAATGCGTTTATTTTTTATGGAATACAGTGCAATACGCAGAGGGCAAGGGACACGTCACTCTTCTGTCTGTGGCCCTGCTTGACTCCTTGTGTCCTTTTGGTCCACATACCTTCCCTGCAGGAAGAGAAGGGGGCCCTGGTCTGCAGACTGGCCCGGCCTGAGAATGTAGGGCCAGGGACCCTGGCACGGGACCCACCCGCTCCACCCCTTCATGCCACTCAGCCCAGGAGCGCCGGGCCTCCCCCAGAACGTGTCCACACTCAGCAGCTACCCCGCAGCAATACGCAATCCTGGGACCTCGTCCATCTAGGATGGGCAGACGGGCCACAGCCTCCAGCGAGACTCCTTAAGAATGAGCCCCACAGTTGCTCCAGAAATCCCAGGCAGCAGAGCCGTGGGCACCCCTCAGCGTGGAGACACCAGGGGTGCTTCTCCAGCCTGGCGGACGCTCACCTGGTGATAAGCAGTGACACTAGTGACCTGGAATCGAGATGGGCCTTACTCTGTCGACTCGATGAATAGCTATTTTCTTGTCATTTTTTTAAGTGCAACTGTTGCTTCCTGCTGCTTAAGTTATCAGACGAATGCTGAGGAATAAGTAATCACAGACATTTTAATACCATTTCATTGCTGTTTTATGAGTGTTCATTACTTAACAAAAATTATCTTTTAGCTTTTTTGCTTAAGACTTTTCTTTCTAATTAATGGCCGTTGTTGGGTTTCAGTTCTTCTTTTTACTTGTGGTTTCAGTAACTGCGGAGCTGCCAGGCCTAGCTGCTAAAACAGCAGGAGGGCCTCGAGAGCCACAGCAGCCCTGGTGGCTTCCGTGTCCACCTGAACACCATGAATAAATCCCCTCAGTGGACACAGAGACCCTCTCTCTAGGACAGCAATGTCACCCGTGGCACTTAAACAATTCCTGATGCCTGGCTCTCAGGCCCAGAAATCCTGATTTGCTGGGTCAGGTGTGCAGCCTGGTGCATGCAGTGTGTAGCAGAGGTTGAGGACCGCTGTCCTGGAATAAGGACAGGTTTGATGCCCCCACCTGCTGCTCTCCCCCTTGACCTTGAGCATTTAATATCCTGAGAATTATTAGCACTGTCTTCCTGAGTCAAATCCAAGATCCACCTAGTGTTTGTCTCTCACGGATGGTCCAAAACATACTCTAAGACCTTACCCTAAGAAGGATATATGGAAGCGCAACATCCCTGCAAGAGTCAGAGTCACTTGGCCATAGAGAGCATGGGTTTGAGGTCAAACCAACCTGGATTTGAATCCAGTTGTGATATTTTCTAGCTGTGATCTCAGATAAATATCTATGTCTCTCTGGACCTCAGTCTAGGAGAAGATAATCAATAAGGCCAGTAGGATTGCTAGGGAATGTGCAGTGCCTGGCATGGGCAGGTGGTTACAGTTGCTGTCAGTGTCCCTGGGAAGGTCATCCCACAGCTAATCTGTATCTTTCCATCTTTCAGCCCAGTCACTCAGGGTTTATTCGTCATGAGCCATTATGCAAAATATTTGTCCTGAAATGATCCATTTTCTGTTTGAGGGTTGGATGTCTACGGATTTGGTGAGGAAGTAGAATCAATCTGCACATCCTCACCCATCAGCTCCATTGTCACTGTCACAGTCGCCCTAAGCCAGGCCCTGTGTGCCAGGCACCTTACCTCCTGCAAGACCACCTGCCCATCTTGTTCCAGTTTTTGCAGATGGAAGAACCTCAGTTTCCAGGGATTCATCCCTCTCTGGACTTTCTCGAGCTCTGCTGAGTCTTTCTCAAGGTTGGCACCGTGACCACCTGTGGTATTTGCCTGAGTGGTCACAGGTGTGAGTGGTCACAGGTGTGCCAAGGGGCAGGGCCAAGGGAAGGCAGGCGTGGAGCCCAGCAACTCACCTAGTGGGAGGGCACAGTGCATAACAGTCCCATCACTGGCTTGGCCTTAGTGGTGGGGGTGGTGGTTGACTGTCACCTTCAGTGGCTCTGTTGGTGACTGCTGTGCAGCAGCGCCATCATCTAGGCATGCTAGGGTGACTGCGCCTCCCTGGACTGCATCATCGTGTGAGGCCCACCATTGACCAAGCACGGCCATGCATAGCTCCACACGGGCATTTGGCCGTGTTACCTCCACTCATCCTCCCAACACCCCCAGCTGGGAGGTGAGAAACCAAACTCCAGAGAAGGGGGCTCACGTGGCACTGCACAGACAGCCAGATGCACAGTGAGGACAGAGCCACAGGTAAACACCTCCAGCCCCCTCCTCACCAGGTGACAAAGGGCCACTGTGGACCCTCTTTCTGCCCCTTTGAAAGGCTTCTCTTCTACATAAACACTCTTCCTGAAGCCATGGTGTTGACACACAAACCCAGACACATCAGTGGTTTCCCCAGGTCCTGCGCCGGAAAAATAGCAAAGTCAAGGTGCGCCCTCAATCCTGACTGCCACTGGTGTCCTGTTATACCTTCCTGCCTCTGCTGTTTTACTAAGCAAGAAAAACTGCGTTTTAGCCAAGATCACATTGTTGGGGGGTCAAGACTCGTAGGGATTTGCAAAGGGTGTTTTGGTCTATATTTTGCAGCCTGTCTCTGCCAGCAGGTGGTGGGAGCAATCTGGGGAGAAGGACGGGGAGGTCTGAGGCCACTTGCATGGAAAAGGACATCTTGACAAAGGCGCTTAGGATGTATCTCAGTCCCCGCAAATGATCCCCTCCCGCATCCATAGAGATGTCCCTGGTGTACCTGTCACTCAAGAATCCTCTCCATCCCTGCTTCACTCGGCATCCCTGACTGCACCAGGTGTCCCCCCTCACCAGGGGTCCCCAACACACCAGGGATCCCCACCTCACCAGGTATCCCCATCTCACCAAGTGTCCCCATTTCACCAAATGTCCCCACCTCACCAGGTGTCCTCACCTTACCAGGTGGCCCCAGTGTCAGCAGGTGCCCCCACTTGACAGGATAGCCCAGCTACCACAGGGAACTACAGTGAGTCCTGAGAACATGGTGGGGAGGCCACGTGGGCATCCCTCGTGCTGTCAGAACAGCCCCACAGACAGCAGGACCTGCCTCCCCAGAGCTGGGCCAGGGCATCCCTCAGGCCTTTTGCAGGTGCCAGAGGCTGTGCTGCACCCCGAGCAGCCCCTGGGTGGGGAATGACCTGTGGCGCAATCTTCCCGTTTGCCACCCGCCACTCCTACTACGTGTGCAAAGGCCGAATGGTCCCGAAGCTGAGGCCGTGGCCAGAGCTGCTTTTGCAGAGCCCTGGCCTGTGTCAGGGCCTGGCCGCTGAGATTTTAGAGTGTCTCCTCGAGGCCCCTCGTGGACGGGCTGACATGCCAGCCCTCACAAGGACAGTTTCCTGCATCTCTCCCCACTCCAAGTCCACCCACTTCAGTTGCCGTTGGTGTTGACATCTGTTGACCCAATTTGCCAGCAAGCCATTAAGAGTCCATTCACCTAATGAATCAGGCTGACTTCTTGGACAACGTGGTTGTCCCCTCTGCTGTCTAGAGATCACCTGGTGCCTCTGCGTTGAGTCGATGGTGTTGGGGGGTGCTTTGGAAGTGATACGAGGCTGTGGCTGTGATTTCCCACCCCCCACCCCCTGCCCCGTGACCTCCTGAAAGCTCCTCCCTGCTCTTCATTCAGAATGAGCTCAGCTGCCCACACTCACCTGCAGGTCCTGCTCCCCTTTGGAAAGCAGTGGTGGATGCTAAACTCACAGACAGCCGGGCCTGCACACCAGCATGTGCATGGAGCAATGGACGTGTCAGGAGCCCCACAGGAGGGGATCGGAGCTCCCTGCAGGCCGAAGGCAGAAGGGTGGAGAGCTGCTGGCCTCGCATTTAAGGCACAGCAGACCCCAGCGTTCAGGGTGGTGGCAGCACTGCACTGCAGGAGTGGGGATGGGGCTCTGGGACAACAAGAAAGGCACAGACAGCTGCCCCACACACCAGGGATCCGGACGGCTGAGAGTGGAGCTCCACGCAGGTGGGTGTAGTAGGCTGACTCCCGGGCAGGGGAAGGCCTGGGGGGCTCCAGGGATTTGCCCACCTCTACCAGGTGGAGAAGCAGTGAGGCAGGATGGGAGGAGCAGTTGGGGGCGGGGCAGGAGGTGGGGGCCTCTGGCAGAAGCGGGGAGTGGGGCTGGTCTGGGCTTTGCAAACCCAAACAACGGTGAGAGGAGCAGTTCAGGCCACAGCAGAACCTGTGTTTGCTTGAGCTGAAAGGTGACGAGCAGCCCTCTGCCCCAGGAGGAAAGTCAGAGGTTCTTTCCTTTGGCTTTTGTTGTTGCTGCTGTTGTGGTTTGTTTTGTTTCATTTTTGAAAACCCATGGAATAGGGCAGATTTCTTGAAGAAAGCCTTGGAAGGCCATAAGAGAGCAGGTTGCAGGTGGGCTGAGTCACCAGCGTGGCCCCGCATGGGGGACACTATCCCTCACTTATTCCCAGACGCCTGCTGTGGGGCCACTTCCCATGCTGGCCTGAGGCTGGCACGGGGCTTGCTGGGCACAGTCGATGCCCGTCTTTGGTCCCTTCTGTCCAGCGGAAGCCCCGGATCCACCACAAGTGCCGGTGGCTGCACCTGCTGGAGGCCCCATAGGAGTCAGTGAGCGCTGCCTAGAGCTGACTCGGCACCCGCTGTGTGTGAG